CATTTAAATTGTCTCCTTTAATCACCATACGAAGTCCCCAAAGCTTCCCACGCTGGGGGCCCTGAACACCTGGGCAGCCCCGGGGGCTTTGGTTTCCTGGTTCCACGGGTGCTGCTGACACGAGTCCGTCCGTCTGTGCTGACAGCAGCACAGTGTCAGCGGTCGCAGCAGCTCCTGGGGTCCCTGGGCAGTGGGAGGGTCATTACCAGACCACGGGCTGCAGTGTGCACGTGGCTGGGCACAGCATCTCCCCAGAGGCACGGCCCACCTCCAGGGCCCAGCCTTTCCATCCACGCGCCACATGGGGCCCCGAGGACGCCAGACTCCCCACCTGCTGGGGGAGACGTTCTGAGACGTCTACCAACCGCCGGGCTCAGAGTCCACCAGACCATGTAATTTTCCTCACAAAATTCAGTAACACACAACCAAAAAATTCAAGTGCCCATTAAGACCCTGCATGACTGTAACACGAGACCAAAGCTGTCTATAAATCTTTAAAACCGAATTCAGGCTGGAGCTCATGATAAAACCTCACAAATTGCTTCTCCTTCCTGTCTCAGATATGAGCTGTGGCCAGACTCAACATTCCACCCTCATATTTTTCCCAAAACCTTTGTTTCCTGGCTAGAAATCACCGCTGCCTTAGCCCCTCACTTCCTCTGAATTTCTGGGGCCAGGTCCATCAATTGATGTATTTTAGGAAAAAGTTTTTTACAAATAATGTTTTTCCCCCAGCGATTAGCTACCAAATGCACGTTGGTTTAAATGTGTTCCTCAGCAGGTGACGAGGTGGAGGCCGCAGGGCACTTCCAGGGACGGCGGGGCTACAGCCAGAGGAGGCAGAGCTGTGGATGGACGGGGCCTGGACCCCCCAGGGTCAGGGGTGGAAAGCCCTTCTGGCTGGAGGGCGAGGGTCCCACTGTGGTCCATGCGCGGCAGAGGGTGACTGCCTGGGTTTTGCGTGCTGATGGGGAGGGGTCCACGTGAAGTCCGGGTGGGGAAGTGACCAGAGGAGAACACTGGCGCAAGAGGCCGTGCACCAAGGGTGCCAGTCCTTCTCCACTAGAATTTAGGACGTCCTGTCTCGTCACCTCTGACCACGTGGAGATGCTGGGAACGTGCAGGGGACCCCAGGGCCAGGCTCCAACCCACTCACCCTTGGGCCCGGCTGGTAGAGGGACTTCAGCTGGACAGGAGCCCCTCCGGGTAGGCTGCGTCCGCACTCTGGCCCCACCTCGCTGTCCGAAGCAGCCACGGAGCCGAACTGCTGCGTTCCTCCAGTGAGCTGGGATCAAAGCGCCGCTCCCTGGCCCCAGAGCGAGTCCCGAGACTGGAAGGAGCCCCTTTCCTTAGGTCTGTGGAAAATTCCGGAGGCACGTCCTCCGCCCTCTAAGAAAACAGGTTTCCCAGCTCATGTTTCTATTTGAGCGGCGGGGCCAGCGTCTGAGAAGGTTTCTGGTTTCGAACCAGGCCAGCGCACAGGGCCTCTGAGGGAACAGGACTCTGCTGCTGGGGACGGCCAAGCCTGCCATCCGCCTGAGCCACGGTGTTCAGTTCTCCACCTGGACCGTTCCTGCTGCACTGCAGCCCTGTGCTGGCTTGTTACCCGGATTCTGGAGGCGAGGGAACCACAGTCAGGGGGGCTACCTGTCCGTCCACGGCCACAGAGCCAGAGATGCAGCCGCGGGGTTGCTGCAAGGCCCACCACTCTCTGGGTGGGCGGGTGGGTACCGACTGTGGCATCTGCTGATTTCAGCTGATGACAGCCAGCTCACAAATTTCCTGAATTCGGGAGTTGCAGGTGTGGGCTCCAGCACACCCCTGCTGGTGGACCCCAACCCCAGAGCACAGCCCTCGCACCCTGGGCCCAGCCCTCGGAGCCCCGCGTGGCAGAGACAAGCCCCATGGCTGTGTTAACCCCGAAGTCTCTCAGACACATGGGCATTTAATGTCCAGAGGTTTGGGGGTGATTTGTGCCTCAGCCGTGGAACCAAGCGTGCGTTGTGTCCCTGGGGACGGGGCGTGGGCTGCGGCTTCCAAGGACAAGGGGCTGGTGGCTGGGAGAGGATGGGCTTGGGGGCAGCGGGAGGTGCAGCGAGGCCGGGAGGGGCCTCCGGCCAGGTGCCACCCTCCGTACTGACCAGCCAGCGAGCGCGCCTGAAGGAGGAACAGCTAATGCTGCTCCGCGTGGGGCCCTTCCAGACCCGAGTCTGTCTGCCCCATCCCGACAGCCAGTCTGGGCTCTGGGTGGCACCCAGAGGACGGGCAACTTTGATCTGATTCTTACAGAGCAGACAGGAGGCCTCGAGGGAGTGCAGAAGGGAGGCCACACTGGGCATGGGGGTCATAAGAAAAGCCCCCTGCTGTCCAGGCCCCAGATCCGCTCAGTCCAGGGGTCAGCCCTCTGTGAATGCACTTCCATCCCTGACCTGGCAGGCGTCCCTCCCTCCTGAAAGCAGTGGGAGCGAACAGGTGCCGACTGCGGCTCGATGCTGCGTCCCCAGGGAAGACCCGCACTTCCATCCCTTGGTGCGCTGGTGTGACTTGTCCCCCGTCTGCATCCTGTTGTGCACCGACTGTTTTTTCCGTTTTTAGCTCATGAGCCTGTGTGTCCAGCCGGGGTGGGCGTACCTTCTCGGCAGAGGGTCCCTGGGAGGTGGGCCCGCCTCCGTCTGTGGGGGCCGCAGTGCAGGGCAGGAGGGCTCTGTGGAGAAGGGGGCACTGGCATCTCAGCGCTTCGTTTTCTCCTCAGACCTTCAGGTGAAATGGCTCCTGAGCCTTATTCCTGATCAGAAACAACTCCGAGAAGAAGTTGCGCGGCTCCTGTTTTTGCTTTAACATCAGCTTGTTTTCTTCTTGGTCATTAATAAAGTTGGTATTAAAATTGATTTTTCATCTCCTGTAAACTGATCATTTTTCTAGTGACAATGTATTTAGATGCCATTTAACCGTCACACAGGCAACTATTTAAACGTGGACAGGTCTCCGTTGGATTTTCTTGCTCCTGCACCTTTAAAATACCGTGTTTTATTTTGCACTCTAACTTAGCAGTTGTCTATTTACTGTTAATACCCACTTACAATTTTCAAGATATA